TGGGTACACTATTTTGTGATCACAGGAAATTTTTTTACCTTGACATATGTTTCATTAAAAAAATTTAAAAATCAGAGCAGCCTATTTCATTCATTGGGAAACACTGCTGTCATTTCCATTGAAAATCCAAAATGCAGATTTTTATTTCAGGAGACGCTTAGATCTCTCTGGGCTGGAGAGGTTCATGTCAAAATGCGGTTTCGAAATAAAACCTTCTGCAGCAACACACGCCCTTGGCAGTTGGTGCAAAGACAGTGTAGCAAGAATGTGATTTCTCCAGTTCCGGTGTTGAGAAGAAAATGTATTTCCTGTGGTCACATATGTGGAGTGTGGATGTGCCAGTGTGAGCCAGGGAGCTCCTGTGCATCCGCAGCGGAGTAGACTGACCTTGAGCATCCCTTTGCTCTGTGTCAACTCTGCCCAGAACCCTGGTGACTGAGAAGGGAGTCAAGATGATGGGTAGTATGACCGGGCCTACAACAGCCATATGTTTTAACAAAGCAAACCAGCGCTTTTCTCCCTCTCCCTCTCCCTCTCTGCTTCTCTCCCTCCTTCTCCCTGTCCTGTCCCTCTCCCCCTCCCCCTCCCTCTCCACTTCTCTCTCTCTCTCTCTCTCTCTGCTTCTCTCTCCCCCTCCCCTTCCCCTTCCCCCTCCCCCCCTCTCTCCAGTTCTTATTAATTGTATTTATGTTGGTTCTGGCTCCCCTGGGTGATAGAGTAGAACTGGGCTCCAAAACCCTTCCAAGGTTATGACCTCTTGGAAGCCTTTTGTCCAAGGCACCTGTGGGTGGGTTTGAATGCAAAAGTTGGGGTGAATAGTCCACGGTCTAATTATTTGCACCCCCAAGGGTCAAATGCTCCAAGCATTTAGTTTCATTTTAAGCTACAGAAGGAATAAATCAAAACTGATAGGATTTGCCTGTTATGAAAAACAGAAACGAATTCATACTTTCTTGCCTCAGGCGAGCTTCTAGCTCTGACTTCCTTAAGGCTCCAGACCCACCTCTTTCCGGCTCCTTCTGCGTGCGGTCATCTTCCTGTTCTGGACTGGCACTACTTGCATCGAAACCGCTCGGACTCTGCTGTGAAAAAAGACACAAGCCCTGGCCCGTGCTTCTCCTGCTCCTACACTGCTGCCGTGGACCAGGGAAGCCTCAGATGGACCAGGCACCGAGGCTCTCAGTGAAGCAGAGAGCAAATTGAAAGATACTTCTTTTCAAAAGGAGGCTTTGATTCACCAAGCGGGGCAACTGAAGGGCTTAGTCTGGTCCTGTGGGGAGAGAGAGGGAAGTTTCAGGGGCTCTGAGAGGCAGATATTTTCAAAATTGGCTTCCATGCCTTTACAGCTGATGTGCCTCTGGGAGGTATAAAAGCCTGGATATTGAGGACTTGACATTTGGTAGTTGGCTGCATCTCCTGCGGAGAACCTTCGAAGGTAAGTGATTTGTGTGCTGCTGTCTCCTCTGAAATGATGTTGAACGGAACCTTCAGTCAGTGAGGCATATTTGTCCAGGGAAAGCAAGGGCTTGGAAGATCTTTTAGGCTCTGTAGAAAGGAAACCCATTCTTGCTGCTGAGACTATTGTTCGCATCCCCGAAGGCTGGGGCCGAAAGAATGCAGGGAGATGCTGAATGACGGCTGAGAACCTGGCATCTACAGAGAAAGAGAATGAAACCACTAGTTACTGGGCGTCTCTTAGGTGACAGGGTCTTTACATACATGATCTCAGTTCTTCCTTATACCCCCAGGTGAAGAGAGGTAGACCGGGTAGCCCAGAGGAGGTCCGGTCAGTGACGTGCCCCGGTCTCACAGCCAATTGCCTACAGCACTTGGGTCCCACCCAGCTATTTGGTAGGAGTTACAAGACCATGATAAACTAAGGTCATATCAAAGTCACCCATTGTACTGCAGCCCTTTCTTGAATTCATTCTAGTTATTGTTTACCAAAGTGCAAATATTCTTCTACCAACTCCTAACTATTTACTGGACAACTTGTTGGAAGGGGAGGGGTGGTGGCAAGGAGCAGTCCATACGATGACTTAGGAGAGCAAACTGGTCCCAGTCTTGACCTTACGGTCAATGGGTGACAGAACGTGGCCTGCGTGAACTGCAGTTATTGGGTTGATATAATTCTCAAGAACAATGAATCACTACTGAATGGGATCGATTATTTAGCAAAGTTGTGGGACAGCCAACGCTGGAGCCAGTGTGTACTGTTTATGTGTGAACGGAGGAAATGTCGTGGCTTCTTCCTCTACCCTCTTCCCGTTTTGTCCTCCCTGCTCTCATTTAAAATCTGGCCCAGTCGGACATTTTATTTTTTTTAAATAGTTGTATTGATATAAAATTCACATACCATCCACTTTCATGGTTAAGTCGCTTTTAAAAAGAGTTGCATATATTTCATTACAATCAATTCTCGTGCTCCCTCCCTACTCCAGCATGCCTTATTTGCTCCTCAGTTTCCTTCACCCTCCCCTCCCTGTCTGTTACATCTCTCTGGAGCTAGATCTGTACCTCCGTCCTTGGCTCCGTGTGAGAAAGAATTCACGCCTAAGCCTGGTTAGTGATCCAAGTGAGTTTTATGAGAGTTAGAAGAAATTTCAGGTTGACACAGCACCCGTGGGGCTCCTCCTGAACATGCGGCCTGGGGGGAAGCTGCTCGGTGGCACGCAAGAGTGTCCCAAAGTCCCCAGAGCTCTGCCAAAGTTCCCAGAGTTCTGCCGCTAAAGTTCTCCCTTTTCAAGGATTCCACAGGGAGGCGTGGTGGACGACCCCTGATCGACCCCATTGGCTGAATTGAATTCACCTGGCCTAGGTGGACCAATTCAGGTTCACGCCCACCCATGCCTACCGGGGAAACCTGAGCCTCTGGGCATGTGCAGTGCGCCACTCCTTTGTTCCCGTAGCTTGGCCCTCTGGGCATGCCTTAACGGACACCCCCCCCCCACAGTCTAGCTAACAGTCCCCTATAAACCAGTGTATCAGTTATCATCTCTGTGTATCCGCTCCTTCTGTGCTTCATCAACTGGGCAACCTCACAGACACCACAAAAAACAAAGCCAAAATGAGACAGTAATAGTAATAATGATGTACAGATAAAGAGTAAGAAAGAAAAAAAAACCACTAGCAATGTTTTAAAAGACAGAGAAGATGTTTCTGTTGTGGAACAGTGAGAAATATTTAAATTTAGAGCAAATTCAATTGACTAAGTATCATATTATACCGTCGTTGGATCCACCGTAATCAAGTTTACAATAGTCTCTGTCCGATAGACAAACTTTCGAGTTCCTGTGGCAGAGGGGATCTGCCAGCAGCTTAATCCCAGACAGATTTTCACTGCTTGAATTTCCCCAAGATCTGTTCTCTTTTTCAGGAGGTGCAGCAGGGAGAGGGATGGAAGAAATACTTGTGCCAGTCACTATTCCCTGACAAGACCTCCCAGCTTGTCAGTGATAGCATTTGAACCAGATGTTGCTCGTGAAGCATACGCTCCTGGCTGGCCATCTCTCGTTTTCAGGCTCTTCGTCCACGGCCTCTTCCCTGTGCTGCTGCCTTAGCCTAGAAATGACCTTTCACTTCCGCTGCCCGGCGAACCCTGCTTTCTTGCCGGCATTACTCCAATGTCACCTCTTCCCTGCAGAACTAATCATCCTCCGGGGGGTCCTCCTAAGGCATCGACTTTCCCACGTTTCTTTACCTCCATCCACAGTACCACGCACATTTTACATCACGGCGCAGTGGCAGGAAACCTAAACAACCAAAATAAAACCTGCCTGAAATAATACCGTACATTCTGAGTTTCATTTCATTTTCTAAAAAGACGGCGATGGTGACTTGCCAAAAGTAGCCAATCCGCAAGAAAACGAAAGTGTCGGCATAAAAGTGTTCTTTGAACAATAGTTATGATTTCTCTGTTAGTATAACAGCTTCGCTGAGTTCTCAAATATTTCCAGTGAATTATTGAACTTTGGGGTGATCTTCGGGGCTTCTCAAATTTCTATCCACTCACCCAACTTCCTTTTTTTTAACCTCTCTCCATCCTATGCTGTCATTTATCTTCCTCATTTCTTTTTTTAAATTTACACTTCTTTTTATTCTTTTTAACACATTACACCTCATCCCTTATCTACCCAGTAATGCCACCTCTAAACCCAGGTTTTGTGTCGTCATCTTGCTATTGGGGCCAGGCACCAAGGGGTTTCAAAAAGTTCTCAGTAAAATGGAATGAAAAGATAATTTTTTTCACTAACATGTTGAAACTCCTTTTTATATTCCTCATATACTTTGGCCATGTTATTAGGAGGGACAGTCCCTGGAAAGGAACATCAGGCCTAGTAAAGTAGAGGGTCAGCCCCCCCCCCAAAAGGAAGACCCTTACCCAGGTGATTGATACAACGGCTGCAAAAATAGGCTCATTTGTGAGGATGCTTCAGGACCAGACAGTGTTTTGTTCCGTTCTACACACGATCACTGTGAGTCAGAAAGGACTTCCTAGCACCTAACAAGGACAACACGGGAACTGATCGTGATTGACACATAACCTCCCTTGCATCCCACTCCAGGGGGATAAACAACAGAAATGTGGATGAAGGGGACAGCAGACGGTGTAAGATATGAAAATAATCATAATTTATAATTTATCAAGGGTTCATGAGGGAACATTCAGAAAGAACGTACCCCCTGCACCAGTCATTTTGACTCTTACTCAGGTCATCTTTTGATATTATTTCCAAGTATCTTGCTGACCAGCTACAATAGGAAGAAACTTTGGGGAGAAAGTCACAGTTCAATGTGAGCTCAGACAGGAGCTGCAGGCAAATAGCCTCAAGACCTGGCTTCTCGTGTGGACTGAGATGTAAACAGCTAGTGGCTTTGGGGAGTGAACGCTTAGCTGCTTTGGGATAGTAACCCTTATATATAAAAAGAAGTCTCTTCGCTAGATCATCTCTCCAGTTTCTTCCACCTGGTCATTTCTTATTCTGTTTTGCTACTTGTACAGAATGAGTAGTGCCACCGAAAGAAGAGGAAAGTGTTGAGATCACGTTTGACTGTCTATTGGAAAACGATAGTTTTGAACAAGTAAGTATACCGAAATAACATCTGCATGATTATACAGTATCCTATCAATTACTGAGTGAGAAATCAATCAAGTCCTTCTCTTGCTTAGCTGGACCTGGAACTCATTCACTGCCATCCAGTCAATGCTGACTCACAGATGCCCCCTGTGGGTTTCTGAGCGTGTAACTCTTTACGGCAGTAGAAAGTTCAGTCTTTCTCCCAGCTGTATATAGCTATAGAGAGAGTCCCCAATATTCTTGTTTTGGAAAGTTCGTTATAAGCATGGCAGCCCATAATACAAACCAGAACCAAGTAACAAAAAGATTTACACAAAAAATGGCCAGGTATACATGATAAACTGTACCTATTAAGCCATATGAGAGACAAAGAGTAGACCACGGAGAACCACACTTGTCAAAATCATTGTGAAAAAACTATAAATCTTACCAGTGGAATGAAAGATGTGGATCTTTCCACTTTGACGACTGAAAGGGCTATTCAATGCAGTGGCCACTTACTGCATGTGTTTTTTTTTTGTTTTGTTTTTAAGTTTTGAATTAAAATTACATCAAATTAAAACTTCACTTGCATAGTCACACTAGCCATATTTCAGGTTCTTGATAGACATATGTGAGAAATGGCCGCCATATGACACAGAGCATCCGTAGACCACATTTATCACTGCAGAAAAGTCTACTGCCCTGGTCTGGTCCAAGACAACGATGTCCTGGTGGAATGAATACTTGTAAATAGCTAAACAATATTTCCCCGCTAACTATTTGGTAAGGGAGGCATATGATGATTCACACACTTGGAGATATCCCATAGTTCGTAATCAGATTATCTAAGTTACATTGCACTGTACTTTTTCAAAGTTTGAAACATTTTCACATGTATGACTATCTTAGTTATCTAGTACTACTAAAACAGAAATACCATAAGATGGCTCTAACAAACAGAAATTCATTTTCTCAGTTTAGGATGCTAGAAGTCCAAATTCAGTGCAAAAGCTCCAGTGCCCAGAACAAGAGTATCGCTTCTGCTCATTTCCTATTTCTTTGCTGGTGAAATGGGTTATGTGTTGGGCTTCTTTTTTTTCCCCCCAACAGTTTTTCTTCTTTTAAAAAAAAATCTTTTTATTGGGGGCTCATACAACTCTTATCACAATGCATCCATCCATCCATTGTGTCAAGCACATTTGTACATTTGTTGTCCTCATCATTCTCAGAACATGTGCTTTCTACTTGAGCCCTTGGTATCAGCTCCTCATCCCCCACTCCCCACTCCCCCTCCTTCATGAGTGTTAGGCTTCTAACTACAAAGTCAGCAGTTTGAAACCACTCACTGCTCCTTGGGAGAAAGATGAGGTTTTCTACTTCAGTAAAGAATTACAGTCTCCAAAACCCACAGGGGCAGTTATACTCTGTCCAATCAGGATCCTTGCTATGAGTCAGAATTGACTCAGTGGCAGTGAGATTGAGCTTGGGTAGCTGCATAGACTGAGCATCAATCTTTCCCCTTCCCTACTGTCTTGCTTATCTCCTTTATATCTCAAAAGAGATTGATTCCAAACACATCCTATACTAATCCCGTCTTATTAACATAACATAGACAACCAATTCCCAAATGGGACTCTGACCACAGGCGTAGAGGTTAGGATTGATAACATATTTTGAGAGGACACAAATCCATCTATAACAGTGACTTACATGACTTTATTCAAACTTTATCTTGAGTCGTTGAAGTATCATGACCTTCATTTTACAGCTGAAGAAATGCAGCTTCAAAAATGCTTGTTCTGTGGCCATGCACAGATAGCTAGACCTTTCTGGGGCTGCACCAGAAGGGTCTGGAGCTGCACCATTTCAGTTGTAAAATGAGGATCATGACTAGGCACGGGGGCTTTCAGGAGGATGTAAAAGCTGAGAGAATACATGAGCCCCTCGAAGAAGAGAGATGGGACAGTGACCGGACATGTAGACAGGAGTGGAGTTAGGAGTTAAGTTGGGAGCGGAGACCTGCAATGGAGAAAGGCGAGCTTGGGTGCATTTCAGACCAGAGAAGCTTTGGGGTCTTTGGGAGAAAAATAATTGGTCTCTAGAAGTAATCACTTAAGAAATAGGTAAAAGCCAGGAGCAACCTAGCCGAGGGAGAAAACCAGTGCAGAAGTGTCGAAGAATGAGAAGCCAAGGAGCCATTCCTCCACACTGACAGGGACTGCTTGGGCACAGCGCGGTCAGCATGCGGAGTTAGACCCTGCACATTAGACACAGAAATGCAAAATGGCATGGCTTTGCCAGAGAACAGGGGAAGTGAGAGAGCTTAGAACAGATGCAGACAAATGTTCTGCACTCACGTTCTTCAGACAAGTCCAAAGTCCATGGGAGATAAAATTTGCTATCCCTTTTAGTAGCAACAAAATAGTGGCTAAAAATAGTAACTAATATGTATTCAGCTATTGCTTTTTACAAGGGTACGGCTTTTGTTTCAGTTCATACTTCAAACTCAACACTCAAACTCACCACCATTATGTTGACTCGTAAGACAGAACAGACTGCCCCTGTGGGTTCTGATACGCTTTACAGGAGTAGAAAACCTCATCTTTCTCCTGTGGAGCAGCTGGTAGTTTTGAACTGCTGACCTTGCAGTGCAAATTGTAACCCACCATGCCACCAGAGGTTCCAGTTTGTACATACACAAGTTTATTCCTGTGCGTGTTTTTTTTTAAATCATTTTATTGGGGGCTCGTACAACGCTTATCCATACATACATCCGTTGTGTCAAGCACATTTGCACATTTGTTGCCATCATCATTCACAAAACATCTGCTCTCCACTCGAGCCCCTGGCATCAGTTCCTCATTTTTTCCCCTCCCTTCCTGCTCCCCACTCCCTCATGGACCCTTGATAATTTACAAGTCATTATTATTTTTGTCATATCTTACAGTGTCCAAGTCTCTCTTCACCCACTTTTCTGTTGACCAACCTCCAGAGAGGAAGTTATATGTAGATCCTTGTAATCGGTTCCCCCTTTCTACCCCACCTTCCCTCCACCCTCCCAATATTACCCATCTCACCACTGGTCCTGAGGGGTTCATCTGTCCTATATTCCCTGTGTTTCCAGTTCCCATCTGTACCAGTGTACATCTTCCAGTCCAGATGGATTTGTAAGGTAGAATTGAGATCATGATAGTTGGGGGGAGCAAGCATTTAAGAACTAGAGGAAAGTTATATGTTTCATCATTGCTACACTGCCCCCTGACTGGCTTGTCTCCTCCCTGAAACCCTTCTGTAAGGGGATGCCCAGTTGCCCACAAATGGCCTTTGGGTCCCCACTCTGCACTCTCCCTCATTCACAATGATGTGATTTTTGTTCCTTGATGTTTGATACCTGATCCCTTTGACACCTCGTTATCATACCAGCTGGTGTGTTTCTTCCATGTGGGCTTTGATGCTTCTGTGCTAGATGGCTGCTTGTTTACCTTCAAGCCTTTAAGACCCCAGACTCTATATCTTCTGATAGCCGGGCACCATCAGCTTTCTTCACCATGCATGCTTATGCCACCATTTGTCCTCAGCGATCATATAGGGAAAGTGAGCACACAATGATATGATTTTTCTTTTTTTGATGCCTGAAACCTGATCCCTTCGACACCTCGTGATCATACAGGCTGGTGTGCTTCTTCCATGTGGGCTTGATTGCTTCTCAGCTAGATGGCCACTTGTTTATCTTCAAGCTTTTAAGACCCCAGACTCTATATCTTTTGATAGCTGGGCACCATCAGCTTTCTTCACCACATTTGCTTATGCATCCTTTTGTCTTCAGCGATCATGTCGGGAAGGTGAGCATCATGGAATGCCAGTTTAATAGAACAAAGTGTTCTTGCATTGAGGGAGTACTTGAGTGGAGGCCCAATGTCCATCTGGTACCTTAGTACTAACCCTATAAATATATGCACAAAGATTTGTTTCCTCCTCATAAATATATTTACATATGTGTGCATGCTTTTAATGATGTCTCTGCAATTGGTGGATGGCTGCAGACAAGTGCTCAGTAATAACATATCTTTTCTCAAAGTCCAATCAGAACAGTAGCTTCTGAGGAGATCTGCTGGGCCAGCGCAACTCAAGGCAGAGAAGTGAGTTCTGAAGGGTTTGGCAACTGTTTTTTGGACTCCCAGAGGATAAATTTTCTCAGAGGACACAGGAAGCTGAAAGGGGGCTTATTAGGAAGAAATTTTAAGAATATTAAAAACTGCACTGATGAGAAAAAGGCTGGGAAAATTGAACCCAGGGAATTTTCCCCACAACATGACAATGCACCAGGGCTCATTCTTCGAGAGTAACAAGGGGTGTCTTAAGAGAGTTTTGTTGGCAAACCTTACCCTGTCTATTCTACAGCTCTCATCTTACCCTTTCAGACCTTTTCTTTTTTTCTTTTTTCTCCCCAAACTCAAAAAACATTGAAAAGGAACACAATTTGAGTCCCTTATTGTGATAAGAATTGCATGATTCCCCAGTAGAATGATTTTTTTTTAAATTAAGTCCCTTGAGGATACCAAAACTGTTGTTTTGATGTTGTGTAAGTCAAAGAAAGCAGAATTTGGGGGGGAAGGTTTACAGGGACAGAAACACTGCCTTCAGAAGTGTATAGCCCTAGATAGAGGTTATGTCAAGAAACAAGTTTTATATTTTGATTTTTTTTTGTTTAATTAAGGTTTCTATGATTTGGTAGCAATGTTTTGGGTGTAGCCTTATACCTGAATCCTTACAATAGCTTCATGAGTTAAGTAGTATTTTTATCTCCACCTTAGCTTTCATAACAAAAGCTTGCAAATTAGAGAAACTCAACCCTTTTGTGACCCAGGGACACCCACGAACATTTTCTATCTGGCTGGGTAGTACCCACGAACATTTTCTATCTGGCTGGGTTCAGTATAAATGCACGAGTCTGAAGAAACAAGCCTCGTTCCACAAACCTCAGCACTCAAGAGCCCTCAGGATCTATATGTCCCACTGCTTTTATCAAAGTCCCTATTACCTAAAAAAAAAAAAAAATGGTCCCCTTGGGAGTTTTTCCATTCAAAATGCCTTTCATTACTGGCAACACATGGTTTTACAAAAAATTCAAATCAGGAAAGACTCTGGTCTTGAAAGGATCAAAAAACAGACTTATCTGCTCCTAGTTAGAGAGAGGCCAGACATCCAAATCAGGATCACGGTTGTGTGGATTCTTCTGTGAGCCTCTCTCCTTGTTTCTGGTGGCTCTTGGCAATCCTTGGCAATTCCTGCACTGCTTCTAGATGCACCTGCCTCCATAGTCACATGACCTCTATTAACACCTGGTGTCTTTCTCTTTTAAGGTACAACTCAGAAGGGATTGGGATTAAGACCCATCTCGCTCCAGTATGATCTTATTCTCCAAACAGGATCTTACTCACCAATGCAGGGGTTAGAACCTCATCATATTTAGGGGAATATAATCCAATCCATAGCATCTCCATTTTAAAGATAAGAAACTAGCGGCATGCTCAAAAGAGCTCTTAGGGCTCATTGCGTTTGCAGGATTTTTGTTAGTTGACATCAACTAGAAAAAGTTGTGAAACTGAAATCAGTATGGTGGGAATATTTACACCATGAAAATTGACAACTTGGGGACTAAGGGGGGAAAAAGAAAATTGACAGCTTAGGGCCTTTAGCTCCAGAGAGCCAATTGATTTAACTATTTACCAGCACAGTATTGAAATCGGTTCAAAGACGGTTAGCAAGTGGACAAGGTAACACAGATGCTAGCAATTGGCAGCACCAAGGTTGTGTCATTGCCACAGCCCACGCTCTTAGCCATTTGGACTTCACTTGGGACTCTTTAGGTTGGGCACAGATCACTCACCTGACAGAACGGCTCATTACCAAAGCATAGCCATCTTGCTTACCGTGAACCCTGGGGTCAAGAGCTTTGCAGAACTTTTCTGGAAGTCAGGTATTTTGCATCCGTCATAACTCACAGTGGACCCAAAGGAGGTGGGGGAATCCATGATTCTAAGGCTCTGACAACAGATACTGATATAGAACTATTACATAAAGTAAATATTCATGTATATGTGTATATATATATATATTTTTTAACCTTTCCTCAGTGAATTTTATAAAGGAGAATAGCCAAGGCCTCATTCAAAGAATGGGAATGACTGTTATAAAGCAAATTACAGATGAACTCTTTGAACTGAATGTTCTGAATTTTGAAGAAATAAGCATCATTTGCTGTGAGAAGGTCGAGCAGGATGCAGCAAGAGGAATGATTCACATGATTTTGAAGAAGGGCTCAGAGGCCTGCAACCTCTTTGTTAACTCTCTTGAAAAGTGGAACTATCCTCTATTTCAGGACTTAAATGGACAAAGTAAGTATACATTGACTGGAATCTTTTCTACAAAGAGACTAGACCCCAAGAAGTTTCATCATCCCCGGGCCAGAGCCTCTGCCTTCCTCCCGATGGGCCTCACGCTGATGAGAAGCTCAGGCTCTCTCCAGGGGACCTCCCAAGGGGACCATTTGATGAGGAAGCCGAATAGGTAACTCCAGATAGAGAATGATTTAGTGCAGTCTCACTTCATAGTCAACTGAAGCCACAAATGCATTTCTGAAGGTAAATGCCCTGGTGGTGCTCACCATGCCCCAGTCTGGTCAGGACGATGGGTGGGTGAATGGTCCCACTGACACCTACTCCGCGACTCCACACATCCTGGGAAACGGAGCACAGCAAACACAGAGAGAATGATGGTGCTTTTCATAAACGATTCACTTGGTTTCAATGAATACATTAGGCCAGGACACATGGGCATCAAAGATACAATTTGATCTACTGAAAGTTACCTTTCAGACCCGAGCCTTCGGAATGTGGGCTCTTCCATCCCCTATCAGCTGTCCTGAGGTTTGGTGGCAGAAAGGAGGAAACAGAAGGCATGGGGGCAGGCGAGTAGAGGGCCAGGGAGAAACCCAGGAGAGATGTGGAACCCTTTGGGCCAGCTCAAAGCTAGAGAAAGAAATGAAAGTCCCCCGCGGGAGATTTCTAAGCTTTACTCTCTCTCCTCCTCTTGACCTTGAGTTTTGGAGGAGACCGGCTGGAGTCCCCTTTAATGTTTTCTCTTCCTCACAGGTCTCTTTCAAACTCAGATGTCTGAAGAGGACTTAGACTATCTGGCCCAGGATTTAAAGGACTTGTACCACGCCCCATCTTTTCTAAACTTCTTCCCCCTGGGTAAGGATATTGACATCATTTTTAATTTGAAACGCACCTTCACCGAACCTGTTCTGTGGAAAAAGGACCAACACCACCATCGCACGGAGCAGCTGAGCCTGAGCGGTCTGCTTGAAACTCTCCAGAGCCCCTGCCTCGTCGAAGGGGAATCGGGCAAGGGGAAGACCACGCTGCTCCAGCGAATCGCCATGCTCTGGGCCTCTGGGAAGTGTGGGGCTCTGGCCAAGTTCAAGTTGGTCTTCTTCCTCCGCCTGAGTAGGGCCCAGGGTAGCCTCTTCGAAAGCCTGTGTAAACAACTGCTGGACTTCCCTTACACCGTCCGGAGGCAGACGTTCATGAGCACCCTGCTGAAGCTCCGGCAAAGGGTACTTTTCCTGCTCGATGGCTACAACGAATTCAAACCCCAGAGCTGCCCGGAACTCGAAGCCCTGATTAAGGAGAACCACCGCTTCAAGAATATGGTCATGGTCACCGTCACCACCGAGTGCCTGAGGCACATCCGGCAGTTTGGTGCCCTGACTGTCGAGGTGGGAGACATGACCGAGGGCAGTGCCCAAGCTCTCATCCAGCAAGTGCTGATCCAGGAGCTTGCTGCAGGCTTGTTGATGCAGATGAGGAAGTCGAGGAGCTTGCGGATTCTGATGAAGACCCCTCTCTTCGTGGTCATCACCTGTGCCATCCAAATGGGGGAGACTGAGTTCCACGCGAACACCCAAACAACGCTCTTCCGCACTTTCTACGACCTCTTACTTCATAAAAACCAGCATAAACGTCGAGGCGTAGCTGCCCAGGACTTGGCCCGGAGCCTTGCCCACTGTGGAGACCTCGCTCTGGAAGGCGTGTTCAGCCACAGGTTTGATTTCGAACCTGAGGACGTGTCCAGCGCCAGTGAGGATGTCCTACTGACCACGGGCCTCCTCTGTAAGTACACAGCTCAAAGGTTCAAACCCAAGTATACCTTTTTCCACAAATCCTTCCAGGAGTACACGGCAGGACGCAGGCTCAGCAGTTTGCTGACATCTCAGGAGCCCTGGGAGGTGACCAGAGGGAATGCCTACTTGCAGAGGATGGCGTCCATGTCAGACATTACATCCTTGTACAGTAACCTGCTCCTGTACACGTGTGGGTCATCTGCAGAAGCCACCAAGATCGTCATGAAGCATCTGGCAGCAGTCTGTCGACATGGCAGCCTCCTTGGGCTTTCCACGGCCCAGCGGTCTCTCTGGAGGCAGGAATCCATACAAAATGTGAAAGACACCGCCGAGCAAGAAATCCTGAAGGCCCTGAACGTCAACGCCTTTGCCGAGTGCGGCCTCCATTTATTCCATGAGAGCATCTCTAAATCTGCCTTGAGCCAAGAATTTGAAGTCTTCTTCCGGGGTAAAAGCTTATACATTAACTCGGAGAACATTCCCGATTACTTATTTGACTTTTTTGAGCACTTGCCTAATTGTGCCAGTGCTCTGGACTTCATTAAATTGGACTTCTATGGAAGAGCTTCTGGGACACAGGACAAGGATGCAGAAGAGTCCCCAGAAACCTATATTCCCAGCCGGGCTGTGTCTCTGTTCTTTAACTGGAAGCAGGAATTCAAGACTCTGGTGGTCACACTCCAAGATCTCAACAAGTTGAATAAACAAGATATTAAATATCTGGGGAAGATATTCAGCTCTGCCACTAGCCTCAAATTGTACATTACAAGGTGTGCCGGCGTGGCTGGAAGCCTCAGTTCCATTCTCAGGTCCTGTAAGAACCTATATTCTCTCATGGTTGACAGCAGTCCACTCACCATAGAAGATGAGGAGCACATCACATCTGTGGCAAACCTGTCGACCTTGAGCGTTTACAACCTACAGACTCAGCGGCTCCCAGGTATTCTCAGCATTGGTAGTTGAAAAACCCTAATGATGCCTGGTTGGGTACTCTGGGGAATTAGATGATCATGTAGGGTGGTTACATTTTCCCAATCGTCTCTAGCAAAGTCTCGGCGTGGCACAAACAGTTAAGGACTCCATTCTTGCCCAAAGGTTGGTGGTCTGAAGCCAGCTGCAGGGACTCATGGTTATCTGTGTCACTCCTTTCTCGTCTGGGAAGTTGTACATCCGGGAGGTTGCCAGTGAGTACTCACTACCGTTGAGTTGATGTCGACTCGCGGCGACCCTATAGGACAGGATAGAGCTGCCACTGTGAGTTTTAGAGATGTAATTGTTTATAGAAGTAGAAAGCCCTGTCTTTCTCCAGTAGAGATGGCTGGTGGTTTCAAACTGTCGATCTTGTAGATCACAGCCCAACGCGTAACCACTCCACCACCAGGGCTTCTTTGTACAACAGACCCATCCTTAACCCCATCCCAAGTATTGGCATCTTGAAAGATTTCAGGAACCGGTTTTGGTTAAGATGAGGACATTTCAGATGTAGACAGTTGGGGGCAATCTTTCTGGATAAAAAGGAGCCTTCCCCAATTTCCAAGTAACACTCTAGGCAAGTGTCCGTCCTACCTCCACGCATGCCTTCTCAGAGCCAGGGCTGCTGGGTTTGGGTTACAGGGGCCTCACTCAAATTTAGCAATCTGTGGTCCGTTTTCATTCATAAGTGATTCCTCACCCGGATCTGCTTTCATTGTCCCCCCAGAGAGGAACTTTTCTACGATTTTAGGTGTTCTAAGAATCCAGACTATTGTGTACAGGCAATTTCAACCTCCAACTCAATGCAGGAATCCCTCTATAGGATTCTGGGAAGCCATCCAGACTTTATTAGAGTGAAAGCAGTTAACATGCTCAGCTGCTAATGAGAGGTGGTAGTTCGAATCCACTCAGAGGCAACTTGAAGAAGAGCCCAGAGATCCACATCCTGAAAAGCTTTCAGTGAAAACCGTGGGCCACCCAGTTTTCCTCAGATATAAACGAGGTGGATATGTGTTGGAGTTGATTGGATGGCAGCTGAGTTTTGTTCGGTCAGGGAGCTCACCATCTCCTTTTATATAGCGATTCTGAACTTGAGGTTGAGTTTGATTATGTGCTGTTTAGAACGTTGGGTACATGGCTGGAAATAGTTTTCTTAATTTTAAAATTTATATTAATGAATGACATATCCACATGATCCAAATTGTAAAGTTTTTATAATGAAAAATCTCCTTTCTACCCGCATCCCTTAACCACGACTCCTCTCTCAATTGCCAGCATTTTGAAACTGGGGTGCAGTGTGTGAAAATACAGGTTTAAAAAGAAAATACAGGTTTTTAGATTTGGCAACTATGTGCTGATGCTTCTACTTGGTAAGAAACCAAAGAAACAGCCCAACCCACTGTCAGCAAGTGTATTCCAGCTCCAAGTGACGTGGGTGGGGTTTCCAAGGCTGTAAATCTTTGCAGGAGCAGACAGCCTCGTCTTTAATTTACAGGCGTGGATGGCCTCCTCTTTCTCCCATGCAGTTACTCGTGGGTTTAAATGGCTGACCTTGTAGTTAATAGTCCAAAGCCTACTCCACAGAGCCCTGCCAGGGCTCCTTATATGATCTATTCCCTGCTCTTTGAACGAGCTACATAATCTCCAGTTGGGCACAGACCCCCACCTGCCTTAATTCTCAAAATATCAATACTCTCTGGCTCTTACTGATATTTGAGTTCTTACGATTTTTAATAGTTGAAAGTTCATTGTTCAGTACTGCCAAGTCGGTTCTGACACGAAACACCTCCCAGTTCTGTGCCGTCTTCACAGTTGTTCCTTTGTTTGAGCTTCTTGTTGCAGCCACTGTGTCGGTCCATCTTGTTGAAGGCCCTCTTCTTTTTGTTTGCTGCCCCTCTACTTGGCCAAGCATGAGGTCTTTCCCCAGAGACTGGTCTCTCCTGAGAACATGTCTCCAGTATGTGAGAGGAAGTCTCACCATCCTTGTCTCTAAGGAACACTCTGACTGTCCTTCTTCCAAGACAGATGGGTTCCTTCTTTTGGCAGTCCGTGGTACTTTCAATAATCTTCGCCAACATCAATTCTTCAAGTGCATTGATGCTTCTTTGGTCTTACTTATTCAATGTCCAACTTTCACATGCATAGGAGGCCAAAGGCAACATCATGGCTTGGTTCAGGAGCACCTTAATCCTCAAAGTTGATTACTAGGTAATTTGCATATCATAAGACTTACCCTTTAAAATGCACAGTTCAGTGGTTTTTAGTAAATCCATGCAATAGTGCTCTCATTGCCACTGTCTAATCCCAGGATCATCACCCTAAAATCTCATGCCTATTGGCTGTCACTCCTCCCACCAGCCCCCGGGATCACTACTCTGCTTTCCGTGTCTATGGAATGTCCTCATCGGCATGTTTCTGATACATAGAATCATGTAACAAGTGGCCTTTTGTGGGTAGGTGCCGCTGAGTCATCTCGGACTCAGAGCTACTCTGTCCAATAGGAGGAAGCACTGCCTGCTGCGCCCCTCCTCACAATGGTTATGCTTGATCCCATGGCTGCAGCTGCTGCGTCCATCCATCTCTTTGGGGGACCTTCCTCTTTGTCCCTGACCCTCTACTTTACCAGCATGGTAATGTCCTTTTCGAGGGATTGGTCATGATAACATATTCAAAGTTCATGAGACCAACTTTCACCATCCTCCTCCCTTCTCAGTAGGATTCCGGTTGTACCTTCTCCAAAGCAGGTTTGTTTGTTTTCTTGGCAGTCTTGGGGTTTTCAATATTCTTCTCCGGCACCACACTTCAGATGTGTCAGTTTCCCTGCAGACTTTCTTATTCAGCTTTGCTCGGGAACACTTTAAAGAGGTTTTGTGCAGCAGGTTTGCCCGGTGCAATGTGCCGTTTAGTTGCTGGACTGCTGCTCCCATGGATATTGATTGTGGAGCCAAGTGAAGTGAAATCTTTCACTTAGCCTGAGATTCTTGACACACAGCCATGTTATAGCCTCTAAAAGGGGGTTCATGCCTGTTTTCATCGCCAAATATTAGTTGAGTTGGTTCTGTATGGATATACCATGGATATACCATGGATATATCACATTTCGTTCATGCATCCATCATGGGATGACTTTTGCTTGTTCGTTTCCAAGGATATTTTTACTATATCTTTCTTTTAATACCTTTTTAAACAGATGGAATTCAGAGAGGCTAAGGGACCTTCCCAAGGTCACACCATTAGAAGTAACAAAGCAGAAATACAAATAAATAGATTGACTCCAGTGCCTGTGTATGTTCCTTAGTACCAAGAATGCCATCTTGTCTCTTATCTTGGTTAATGCCATACCTCCCATGTTTTGCACCAATTTTTTGAAATTCCATTGTATACAGTAGCATTTCTTTCCAACAAGAAGGTGTTTCCTCTTAAAAGTCTTTTTTCCTTGACCGCTTAAATATATAAAATTTTAGGGGGTGTTTAAAATAAAACAATCAAATGTGTACTGACAATATTAACTTGATTGTACATATAAATATAAAACAATAGAATACATAACATAATTTAGGTACTTACCATTAAAAATCAAGTTCTGTACTTCTATTCTAGAAAATATTCAAGTAGGTTGTGAATTTTTCACCTCAAGTGGCATTTTTTGTAAGTTTCATTTTTACCTTATTTTTTATTTAAATGTTATGGTAATAGGAATGATTTAAAGAACATGAAGTGATGCCTTTTTATTGTTTAAGAGTTCTGAATTTCTGGAGTTTGGCACTGGTCTCTCCAGGGATAGGGTGGTGGGTGGAGTAGTGCGTGAATCACAGTTATGTTCAGTTATGTTTTACTTACAGTTGATGCACTTTGGTTTCTGGGTCGGATCTTTCTTTTAAACAATTAAGAGGCTACATGGGCTGACCTCCACACATACTGTCAAAAAATCCAGACTCCTATGTCGTACAGTTGACCCCTCAACTGCACTGGCCCACTTATGGGTAGATTTTTTTTTTCTTGCTGCTATTGTGGTGAGCTTAAGTGTTCTATCTGTTTAAAATGCCATGATGCTAATCATCACTGAGGAACAGTTTTTTTTCCAGCAGCTGTTCAGAAACTACTCATAAGAAACAACTAACATCTCATGTCTTTATTTTATATATTTTTTTAAATTAAAAGATCATTTTATTGGGGGCTCTTACAGCTCTTATAACAATCCATACATCAATTATAGCAAGCATGTTTGTACATATGTAGCCATTGTTATTTTCTAGACATTTACTTGTGTCAAGAACATTTGTACATTTGTTTCCCTCATCATTCTCAAAACATTTGTTTTCTACTTGAGCCCTTGGTATCAGCTCCTCTTCTCCCCAACCCTTGTGAGCCCTTGATAAATTATAAATTATTGTTACTTTCATATCTTTAACCAACCACTGTCTCCCTTCCCTCATGGTTTCTGTTGTTCATCCTCCTGCAAAGGGTGTGTGTGTGGCTATGTGTCAATCATTGGGATTGGTTCCCCTTGCCTCCCCTCCTCTCCCCAACTTCCCCATACACTTCTTTTTTTTTCTCCAGAGGTTGCCTGAGGAAGTGGCAGAATGGACTTCTTTCTTTCTTTCTTTTTTTAAATCATTTTATTAGGGGCTCGTACAACTCGTATCACAATCCATACATTTATCAATTGTGTAAAGCACATTTGTGCATTCATTGCCCTCATCATTCTCAAA